TCCCTTGGTATCTCTAATTTTCTTGAAGAGATCTCTAGTCTTTCCCATTCTATTGTTTTCCTCTATTTCTTTGCATTGATTGCTGAGGAAGGCTTTCTTCTCTCTCCTTGCTATTCTTTGGGACTCTGCATTCAGATGGAAATATTTTTCCTTTTCTCCTTTGCTTTTCGCTTCTCTTCTTTTCACAGCTATTAAAGTCGATTACAAAATATTTTTTCTTTCATTATCCTCAGCAAAAGGTATTTCTAATACTGCTTAATTGACATTATTTGCTCTTTCCTCTGTTCACACTTTAAGCTTTGTTTAAAATATTGTTAATATTTATACAACTTTATTTATAAATATTTCTGAACATAACTAGATTCTAGCGATATGTATTTGTAACTAATTTATTACTTAATTGCCTTGATGCCTTCTGGAACAACTAACTTGCACTTTTGATGTGTGAATATGAAAAGATTTCTGAATCTTAAGATATGAAGATTCAAATGGATTTTGGGGGGTTTTCTAGAGAAGAAAGGTTAATATTAAACATTATCTGCTTAAGCAGATTACTTAAATGATGTAGCACTATCTATTAAAAAAGATTTTCTTCTAGAAGTCAGTCAAAAATAGGCACCCGTGCACCCAACCACACACAAGCACTCTCATAACATACATGAGAAAGCATAATTTCATTACATCCATAAAGCCCCACCAGTGGTTGCAGTGATTTTTGCTTCCTGGTGGGTAGATCAAGTTCTCCCTTTCAGTTACATAGAGTTTGGCCTGGGACAATTGTACTGTCAATTCAATTTGAGAAGTCTCTTTCACTGGTTATAAAGAAAATTTAACGCACAAAGATAGTCTCGAAATAAGTCATTAAAAAAAAAAAACTGCTATTCAAAACAGGCAATTAAGATGCACAAAAGGGATTTAAAAAGTCAGAATATTTTTGTTAATATCCTCTTAGCCTATAAAATACATTTCTCTAGTGCAGTTACACAGAATGGGGCAATTTTTACCAAGACATTTATGCTGTGTCACATAAAGGTGTGTAGAGGGTAAGATTTGTTGTGCTCAGGGCTTGGGACAAAAAAAATATATACTTCTGCAGATCAATGTGGGGGAGTTATATTAAGACTCCTACCAATATCAAATTTATTTTGTTTACATAGAAAATATTTTGGTGCTTATTGGGTTATTACTGTAGCTCATCTTTCCTTTATCCTATCCATCAACTTGGTTAGATTAAGGGTGGAGCAAATAGGAGCCTGGGGCATCTTCAATATATAGTACCATCTAAAAATAAGATTCCAAAATAAACATGTGGTATGACTGCTGGTCAGAGGGCCCAGGACACACCTCTAAGGTGACTCCTGTTGGGAGGACTATAACCGACCATCTGCTTAAAGTTCTTGCTTGATGGAAAACCACCAGAAGTCAGTAGACCTTCACTCCTCCCTGCCACGTTCTCTCCCCATTAAGTCATTTAAAACCAAAGGTAGTGAGAGTGGAAACACAGCAGAAAGGAACAAGAGGTTCAGCAGACTAAAAGGATGAGCCTTCTCCAGCACTCCATGGGTCCCCTTTCACCAAGAACTTCTAAAGACTTTTTTCACCCTACTATTCCTTTCTATACCTACGCTGCTTCTTTCTGAAATGAATTGCTGGCTGCCTTCGAATAGCATTTAATGCTTCTACAGAATAAGGCTGTTTAAAAAGTATAGTCAATCTATTCCGAAGATATGTTTTCTTTCTTTGATCACATTTATCTGTGCATAGGTTAAATGGCTTTCTGCATTAGCTATATTATTCATAACATTAACTCATTTTTTAAAAAAAATTTATATGTACTTTATAAACAGGAGAGACAATATGCTAGAAAATTAAACAGCTCTTTTTAAATCTATGAGGTTTAGCTGTAAAACAGAAAACAGTTCTTGGCTACTGTTAAAGGTGAACATTGAGCTTTCTTTCAGGACTAACTGGGCTTCCAGGGTGGGCACTAGTGGTAAAGAACCCGCCTGCCAATGCAGGAGACATAAGAGGCATGAGTTTGATCCCTGGAAGAGGGCATGACAACCCACTCCAGGAATCTTGCCTGAAGAATCCCATGGACAGAGGAGCCTGCCGGGATACACTCCATAGGGTCACAAAGAGTTGGACACGACTGAAGTGACTTAGCGTGCATGAACGCAGGACAAATTAAGTAGCTCTGACTGAGGGGCATAGATGTTGTTCACTATGGTGAAAATGATGGATTTTTTGCGCTTCAGCATCTAAAGTTGCTACAGAAAATGCAGGCATAAGAAACAAAAACAGAAAGCTATTCAAAAATTCATATTTAAAAGGCAGAACTGCTTTAGAGTTTTCATCCTTGTGGGTAGAACACTATTATATAGTAACCATCCTTCTCTAATTGGAGCATTTGCTTTAGTGAACACATTCCTTTACCTTAAAACAGAACTGAATTTAGCCCTATTGGAAGGATAACAGCAAGGTATAAAAGAGCTATACCCAGGAAAAAGATGTTGAAACAAATATACATCAAAAGTCTCAGATCTACATTTTTAACATTTTGAAAAGAACTTAATAATAAAAGACAAGTGATAACACCCAGAAGATATAGGAAAATCTTGCAACTGCCACCCTCTGCTAATGCATTCAACATGACTGAAGCAGGTGAAATGCCTTTGGCTTCACACACAGGACCACTGACTAAGAAATTAAGTTAGCCAGAAGTCTTTGGCTAGAAAACCCACTATCACAGGTGGCCATAGCTCAGCTACAAGTTTTTTTCTCAGCAGGACAATAAGCTCATCTCTACTAAAGCAATTATTCTTGCAAACCTGTTCAGCTCAGATTCTAACCCACACATTAACCAAATGCCTACAAGAACTCTTAAATATTACAAAGAGAATAGGCTTCTGCTAGAGACCATTGAAATATAAATTCTTTTTGGCAAAATGACATATTGATAATTCCAAATTCATTGTCAAGTTCTCTGATTTTCACTAAGTAATCTGGGTATCCAGTAACATTACTTGTTACAGAGTAATCACAATAAAAAGACACACAGCCCATTAGGAAAAGTTTCACTCTTTTAGGCCCAGTGTGTTCATTTTGTTGAGTGGGCAAGAGGGAAAATTTAAAGAAGACTGGTCAGTTTTCACATACCACAAACACTACAGATATTTCCTATCTAAAGTAAGCTAGGGACAGCTAATTCAGTTTTTGCTGTAAAATATGCATTGACTATTTTAAAAAATTTTATTTATAAGAATTAAGTTTTATAAGCCGATGGCTCTTTGTTTTTGCATTATATAACCAACATTAAAACTTTGGAAGCTAGAGACTATAGAGTTTTCTGAGTCACTTAAATTATAGTGTCCTGAAAAAGCAAATGTACTTTTGGAACACTAACGATTCACTGTACTTAAAAATCATTGTGGGCAGAGTTTCCATTGTTTAAATATTTATAATTTTCTGAATTTATTGACAAGCACCTACTCAAGTGCCCCAAACTTGGAGAATTTGCTTTCTCTAGAAGAAGCCACAAGTAATTACTAAACCATAACACAAGAGTTCAGAGTAAGTGGCAGGACACTTTAAAAAATAGCTGTTATACAAGATTTGAACTGAATTGTTTAGAGTTAGACACAAACATTAAAATGGGCTCTGTAATTGGAACAAGTTATTATAGTATCAGGAGGCAGTGATTTTAAAACCATCTGCATTTTATCAACTCCAGTAATGAGCAACCCTAAAAGAAAATAAAGAATCTGATTTATACTGCATTTTAGCCTAGGAAAGTTACCTGGGTTTTGTTTGCAAGCAACAACTAAGTTCTTCAACTCTTGGGGCTATATCAAACAGTCCTCACACTCAAAAGAAAGTTGGGTTACAAGAGCCCGATAGAGGGTGTGTCCACTAGAAGTGAAATCAAGAATTTCGCTGCCCTGATTTTTCACAAATAATGACTTTCCTTTATACTTCTCAATTTCAGAATTAGATATAATCCTATTTCCCCTCTTTATTATCCACCAGACACATAATCAGATAAGGTTTCCATTCACATAGATTTGAAAAGATCCTCATCCTGTATGGGTTATTTTATTTTATAGTGGCCAAGGCAGAGAGATTGCTGCCAATATGATGTTCAGGCCATGCAGAATAAAGGCTCAGTCCTGGGCAATGAAACAGTCCACCTTTGTTTTGCCCTTGTGGAAGAAGAATGCAAACCCATCACCAACTTTGGGACTTGATCAACAGTGGGGAGTCACAAAACTCTTTTCAATCACTGCATTTTAAACCTTCACTAAAAATAGCTCCTCTGTGCTTGGGCTTAATGTCCCATCTATGGCCAGTGATGGAATACAGTACTTAATTGTTTCTGACTAGGGTCCTTGCATCAGCACTCTGAGAGTGTCTCCTAACTTTTAATCGTCTGTGTGCTCTTTAATTAGACTTGTTCACAGGACAGCCAAGACCAGTCAGCCCAATCAAGATGTTAACGCAGTCTATTTCACAAGTCCGGGAACTTTTGTACACGGCTAACCATTTCCGAAGATTTGTCATTTTTTCCTCTGATTCCCCGTGCCTGAAAATCAGACACACTTAGGGGAGGAGGTAATCTCTGTGGCTATTGAGACAGCTCCAATGTACAGAGACAGTGCCTGGTGACAACCTTCTCCTTGTCTATCTAATTCGCTTTCTTTATGCTGTCTCCAGTCCGCGTGTTATCTGTCGGCTACTACTAGGGCTCAGGGAAACACGTCTTCGAAAGGAGCACTCGGTCCCCTCACTGGGAGGAATACGAGGATTTCTTTAAGGACTCGGATAACTAGAAAGGGGTTCCACTCCCCTAGAAGAATTTCAGAGTCTGAATTATAGAGACCGCCCCCCTAGCCCCCCGCCCAACTTAGGCGGGAGATGCAAACGGCCGAGGCGTCTGTCCTTGGCCCCCACCGGTGACCTGCGGGCAGCGCCCCTCGGGTCACTCACGCCCCTGGACTCACCTGGTGCCGAGGACCAGCGCCGGCAGGAGAGGCAGCAAGTAGTGCGCTGGGCTGAATTTCATGCTTGTCACCTGCCGGGGTCCTCCTTTCCCCGCTGCCTTCGCTCCCCCGCTTCCTCCTCCAGGTCCCGGCGCTCCTCCTCGGTGCCCGGCTCTGTCCCCGGCCGGCAGTGAGCCCTCTCCAGCAGCGGACGGAAGGAAACCGACAAACGGACGGCCGCCTCGCGCGAAGACAGGCGCTGAGAGTGGGGAGTATCTTCGGGAGTGATGTCACCGGCGAGGCGAGCCCTGCCCCGGATTGTTCGGCGCCGCCGCTCCCGAGCCCGGAGGGCGCGCTGTCACTCGCGCCGGAGGCGGCGCGGGGAGCGGGAGGGGTGCCCGGCGGTGGCCCCGCGCGCTCGGCCAACGGGCTGCGCTCACCCGGCTGCACGTCCCGGGCCCCGGGAGCTGGTCTTTTATTCCCTCTTCTCCAGAGGATGGGGAGGTGCGGGGCGGGGGCCAGGGGAGAAACCTAGTCTGCCGGTAACTGAGCCTGCATCCACGGCAGGAGGTGAGCCAGAATGCCCTGGGGAAGGCTCTCAGGGGCTCAGAGTCACAGGCAAGTGCCCCTCACCTGGTTAAAGCGTGTTTGGAAAAGCAGTGCTCCGGAGGGAGAGAGCGTTTAAAATGTTAACTCGAATTACAAACGTGTAATGACTCTTCGGATGCGAATGGAAGGACAGGAGGAGTGAAGTGCGTCCAGAAATGCACCCTGAGCCCCTATCGCTATTGCGAGGTTCTTAGTCCGCAAAACGTGGGCTGGGAAGAGGTTTCCGGACACTTAAAACGTCTCTGTGGCTTCTGTGTTTTGAAGATTTCTGATCTTCCTGTAATTTGAGTTTGTCTGTTTGTACCACCAGCTGGCAGTGGGGTTGCAGCTCGTTCTGTCCCAGCTGCACACACCTAAAGGGTGGCTTGTCTCCAAGTGAGGAAACATAACTAAAGAAGTCATCAAAATGTTAACAGTAATTAACTCAACTAGGAGTGGTGGTACTGGAAGGCAGAAGGTTTTATCTGTTCTTTTTTTCCCCTATGGTTTCCAAATTTTCTATAATGAACATCTGACATTTAGTAAGCTTTATTTTGAAAAATTAATAAGGGAAATGAAATAACAGAACTCTAATACAAAATAACATTTTGCAAGTAACCTAGAAAATAAAGCCAACTTCATCTACTGAGATGTTCAATTCTAGGGTATTCGTAACATGGTGTCTGTGTGTGTGTATGTGTACCAGCAGGGAGTATGTGTGCGTGCTAAGTTGCTTCAAGTCCTGTCCAACTCTTTGGGACCCTATGGACTGGAGCCCACCAGGCTCCTCTGTCCAGGGATTCTCCAGGCCAGAATACTAGAGTGGGTTTCTATGCCCTCTTCCAGGGGACCCTCCCAACCCAGGGATCGAACCCATGTCTCTTGTGTCTTCTGCATTGGCATGGCAGGCGGGTTCTTTACCACTAGCTGCTGCTGCTGCTGCGGCTAAGTCCCTTCAGTTGTGTCTGACTCCCTGCGACCCCATAGACGGCAGCTCACCAGGCTCCGCCATCTCTGGGATTCTCCAGGCAAGAACACTGGAGTGGGTTGCCATTTCCTTCTCCAATGCATGAAAGTGAAAAGTGAAAGTAAAGTCACTCAGTCTTGTCCGACCTTTCACGACCCATGGACTGCAGCCTACTAGGCTCTTCCGTCCATGGGATTTTCCAGGCAAAAGTATTGGAGTGGGGTGCCATTGCCTTCTCCGTACCACTAGCTATATATATGGATATATATAGCTATATATACATACATATATATTCCAGCAGGATATCCTTGTTAAATAAATGTTTATAAAGAACTACTGCATACATTATTTCATTTGATTGCTACAAGAGCCAATCTAGAGAAATATAAATAATTCCTATTATAGAGATGAGGAAATATCAAGATCAGAATTTTAAAAACTGTGTTCTTCTAAATCCTAAGCAAATCCTACTGTTGCCAGGACTATCATACCCAGCATAACAAACTCAGTGATTGACACAAAGTTGATGTTCAGTAGCTGCTGACATGCAGCAAAGTCCCTAGAGGGCAAAGGTCAGATGTTCTCCAGGAATTCCCATCCAGATGGTTCAGCCTATATTTCAGTTTTTTTCAGGGATTAGCCATCTACGATAAAATTCAGATGAAGCATCCCCTTTAGTCTATTTTTTGAAGATACTATTTGTAGGAAAAATGCATTTGTTATAAAGCTTTATTTTAAAGAGGATACAAATTTAAAGAATTAACTTTCTAATTTACTGAACTACTTTTGTTTTTGTTTCTAATGGGATTAAAGTTAAAACACTCATACAGAACAGATATTGCTTTAAAATCCCAGGCCAATAAAACAGATGAGTAATAACTTTTGCAAACTGGATACCACCCTCTTAGGCCATAGTAAGATCTACAATAGATATAACTAGGCATATACAAATCAACTCACTTGTGAATTGCATGTCATTTACAAAGAAAAATTGCATTACACTTGCCTAAAACAGAATTCTGACTCCAAAGAAAATATGCATTTCAGTTTACTCCTGCCAGAATTATCTAACAATAGATTTGCTGCTTAGTTTGGAAAGTGATCATTTCAGTTGTATACTCAATAAAGACCTATGACTACTCATTATATAAGTATATTGGGGAATAATACCTACTATATTTTTGTTTACCTATCAAGTTTGAATTTACTTGATTATTGGAATCAAGTGTAGTAGTCATTTCTATTCTCCTTTGCAGTTGAGGTAACTGAATGGTTAATTTGCTCAAGGTTACTCAGTAACATACAGTGGAGATGGCATTCAAATTCAGTCTGCATCACCGTAAAACATTTGTTTTCTTGAGAAAAAGGTTTTCTTTTTTGAATACACTTACATAAGATTTCCCCACCTTAATTTATATTACTAAATGAAATGACTAAATGCTCAACAAAAAAAAAGCAATCAGACTATTGTAGATTGTCAACCAAGAAAGGACAGTACCAGAATGAACTTTGTTTAGACAATGTCTCACAGTTAGGGTGTGCCACTGTGTTGGAAATCAATAATATGCCTCAAGGTTTGTTGACCTTTATGCATTTTCTGTAAGCATAAAGGCATATGAAGGCATAGAAGCATCAGTCAAGCACATCTTCAACAGGGAACATAAGTGAGATTGCAGACATTCCTGCAGACTTAGAGGGCTGGAGTATTATATTCTAAATTCCAGGATAGGCCTGCCTTCTAGCAGAAGGCATTTATTTTTAGAGAACTCCAAGACCATAAGTCTCCATCACCAATGACATTCTGTCCAGACTGTCATAGGAAAACTCAAACCCAGAATTGATTTTATAGATTCAGAGCGTTGGTATACGAATGTTAAAGATGTAGTAGCGCAGACAGAAAACTGACTCTGTTGAAACCACCTGCCCCTATCAGTTCAGTTCAGGTCAGTTCAGTCACTCAGTCGTGTCTGATTCTTTGCGACCCCATGAATCACAGCATGCCAGGCCTCTCTGCCCATCACCAACCCCCGGAGCCTACCCAAACCCATGTCCATCGAGTCAGTGATGCCATCCAGCCATCTCATCCTCTGTCAATCCCTTCTCCTCCTGCCCCCAATCCTTCCAAGCATTAAGGTCTTTTCCAATGAGTCAACTCTTTACATGAGGTGGCCAAAGTATTGGAGTTTCAGCTTCACCATCATTCCTTCCAATGAACACCCAGGACTGATCTCCTTTAGGATGGACTGGTTAGATCTTCTTGCAGTGCAAGGGACTCTCCAGAGTCTTCTCTAACACCACAGTTCAAAAGCATCAATTCTTCGATGCTCAGCTTTCTTCACCGTCCAACTCTCACATCCATACATGACCACTGGAAAAACTACAGCCTTGACTAGATGGACCTTTGTTGGCAAAGTAATGTCTCTGCTTTTTAATATAATGTCTAGGTTGGTCATAACTTTCTTTCCAAGGAGTAAGCATCTTTTAATTTCATGGCTGCAGTCACCATCTGCAGTGATTTTGGAGCCCAAAAAAATAAAGTCTGACACTGTTTTCCCATCTATTTCCCATGAGGTGATGGGACCAGATGCCATGACCTTAGTTTTCTAAATGTTGAGCTTTAAGCCAACTTTTTCACACTCCTCCTTCAATTTCATCAAGACACTTTTTAGTTCCTCTTCACTTTCTGCCATAAGGGTGGTGTCTGCATATCTGAGGCTATGATATTTATCCCGGCAATCTTGATTCCAGCTTGTGCTTCTTCCACTACAGCATTTCTCATGATGTATTCTGCAGGTAAGTTAAATAAGCAGGGTGACAGTATACAGTCTTGACGTACTCTTTTCCTATTTGCAAACAGTCTGTTGTTCCATGTCCAATTCTAACTGTTGTTTCCTGACCTACTTACAGATTTCTCAAGGGACAGGTCAGGTGGTCTGGTATTCCCATCTCTTTCAGAATTTTCCACAGTTTATTGTGATCCACATAGTCAAAGGCTTTGGCATAGTCAATAAAGCAGATGTTTTTATGGAACTCTCTTGCTTTTTTGATGATCCAGAGGATGTTGGCAATTTGATCTCTGGTTCCTCTGCCTCTTCTAAAACCAGCTTGAACATCTGGAAGTTCATGGTTCATGTACTGCTGAAGCCTGGCTTGGAGAATTTTGAGCATTACTTTACTAGCGTGTGAGATGAATGCAATTGTGCGGTAGTTCAAGCATTCTTTGGCATTGCCTTTCTTTGGAATTGGAATGAAAACTGACCTCTTCCAGTCCTGTGGACACTGCTGAGTTTTCCAAATTTGCTGGCATATTGAGTGCAGCACTTTCACAGCATCATCTTTCAGGATTTGAAATAGCTCAACTGGAATTCCATCACCTCCCTAGCTTTGTTCATAGTGATGCTTCCTAAGGCCCACTTGACTTCACATTCCAGGATGTCTGGCTCTAGGTGAGCACACTATCATGATTATCTGGGTCATGAAGATCTTTTTTGTACAGTTCTTCTGTGTATTCTTGCCACCTCTTCTTAA